CCATTACTACTATAAGTATAGATTCTCCTCTTGAGGATTTACCTTCATCTATTCCTTTGCGTCGGTCATCTCGTATTTCTCGTCCACCTGATCACTATGGCTTCTTTTCTAGTCATAGCTCTGTCTCAGTTGTTCTGTCATCCACAGATATTCCTAAGTCTTATAGCTAGGCCGTAGCAGTTAAGCATTGGAAAATGCTATGGATTCAGAGGTTCAAACTTTATTGGAGAATGATACATGGGATCTTGTCTCTCCTCCCCCAGATGCCTCCATCATTGGTAACTGGTGGAATTACACCGTGAAACTCAAATCAGATGGTACTTTGGACAGATACAAGACCTGTTTGGTTGCTCAAGGCTACAAGCAAGAGTGTGGAATTGACTATGATGAAACTTTTACTCCTGTGGCCAAAATGACAACAACCCATGTGCTATTAGCCATTACTGCTCTTAGACAATGAATAGTTCACTAGATGGATGTCAAGAATGCCTTCCTCCATGGATAGTTATAGGAGACAGTTTATATGAAACCACCTCCCGGATACTGTGACAACCCTTAGTTGGTGTGTAAACTGAAGAAATCCCTATATGGTCTTAAACAAGCTCCACGAGCTTGGTTTGACTACTTCCATACTATAGTGTTGGAGGCTGGTTTTCAGAAGAGTGCTTCAGATTACTCTCTTTTCACTCTCAAGCGAGCTCAGGGGTTGACTCTTCTTTTAGTTTATGTTGATGATATCCTTATCACTGGAGATGATGTGGATGGTATTAACAAACTGAAACTTCTGCTTAGTAGCTCCTTCAAAATGAAAGATCTTGGGCCAATGACATACTTCCTTGGGCTTGAAATTCAAAGATGTCATCAAGGTTATTTTGTCAACCAACAGAAATATGCCTTTGATTTGGTGACTCTTGCTCGCTACCGTGAGTTAGTTTGTATCTACTCCACGTCAGCCTCACTATTCTGCAATTCTCCGGATTATTCATTATGTCAAGGGCACACTATAACATGGATTATTTTTCTCATCCTCTTCCTCCACACAACTTCGAGCTTATGCAGATGCCGATTAGGCAGGTTGCCATGACACTCGTTGCTCTATTACTGGCTGGTGTATATTCCATGGTGATTCCCTTATTTTTCGGAAATGTAATAAACAACAAACTGTTTCCAAGTCATCTACTCAAGCCGAGTACAGAGCCATGTCCTCAATATGCAGTGAAATAGTCTGGCTTAAGGCACTACTTCATGACATGGATATTGATCACTCATCTGTCATTCCTTTGTTTGCTGACAACATGAGTGCAATTAAGATTGCATCCAATCCCGTATTTCATGAGCATACTAAACACATTGAGGTGGATTTTCACTTCATTCGTAACCTTCTCCACGCGGGTCACATCTCTCTCCCACATGTTTCATAAGGTCTATAGCTTGCGGATCTCTTCACCAAAGCTCGACATAATTTTCTTGTGGACAAACTGATGCTTATACCCTAGCATCAATTTGATGGGGAGTGTAGAGAAAATAAAGGGTAGTTTTGTAATTCTATTGTATTTTATTATTCTTTCTTGTACTGAAATAGGCGTGTACATTAGTGTACAGCTCTTTTATTTTCTTTGTAAGGACAATCTTGTCCATTCACTTAAGTTTAATATAAATACATCTTTTTTGGGCTGGTTCAATTAGATTGATCAACCCTAATAGATCTGAACTTGTGTTTCTCTTCTAGCTCTTTCATCTTCTCACGAACTGACATTATTAAGGTAGCAGAAATAAGAACTTGTTTTTCATGCACTAGCCTGAAGAGAGTAGGGAAGGCCTCACAGAGAGGAATGTTTCCCCACCATAGGTCTGTCCATAATTTTATAATGTTTCCATTTCCTACTTTAAATCTAATCATGAGAGAAAAAGAAGCAAAAGAGTGGAGGATACCTTTCCATGGATTTTGGGAGGAATGAGCCGGTAAGGGGAAAGAGTTGCCCTGTCCCCAACTACTTCTATCATATTTACTGCAATTACAGAGGCCCATAGAGAGCTTCCGTTTTGAACCTCCAAAGCCACTTCCCAAGGAGAGCCTGATTTCTTTCTGCGATGTGACCCAACCTTAATCATCCTTTCCTTGCCTTGCACACAACTTTCCAATTTACTAGGTGGCATCCTTTCTCTCCTCCTCCCTCCCATAGGAAATCTCTTTGTATTTTTTCCAATCTATTTCTGATCTTAGCAAGAACTTTGAAGAGGGAGAAGAAGTAGGTGGGGAGATTTGAAAGTGTGGCCTTGATGAGGGTTAGTCTACCACCTTTGGAGAGATAATTTCGCTTCCAAGTGCTCAACCGTCTCTCACATTTCTTAGTGACAGCATCCCAAAAACTTATAGATCTCGGGTTTCCCCCAAGGGGGAGGCCCAAGTATGAGAAAGGGAGGGACTCCACCCTGCAACCCAAAGCATCCTTTAGTTCTGTCATCAGCTAAGGAGGGGTATTAATGCCTATAATACTGCTTTTTCTCTAAATTTGTTTTCAGCCCTATTACTGCTTCAAAAATTTCAAGATCCTCTTCAAGTTTAAGAGAAAATCTTTTTTTGCTTCAATAAAGAAAATGGTATCATCTGCATATTGAAGGTGAGAAATTTGGATATTCTCTTGCCCCACCGAAAAACCTTTTATAAGATCGTATTCTAAGCCTTTTTCATGAAGGCATCCAGAATGTCTGCTACCAAAGTAAAAAGGAGAGGGGAGAGCGGGCAACCTTGCCTTAAGCCTCTGGAAGTTTTGAAGTAATCAACTAAGGAGCCATTTACCAGGATTGAAAGCCAAACCGATCTAATGCACCCTTTCGTTCACTTAATCCATACTTCCCCGAAGCCTTTGAGTTCGAAGATCCTCCAAAGGCAATCAAAACCCCACTTAGCCTTTTCTTTTTCCTATCCTCCACTACTTCATTCGCAATCAAAATCCCATCCACAATTTGTCTCCCTTGGATGAAAGCACTCTGAGTAGATGCTACCATTTCATTCAGGACTTTCTTGAGTCTGTTTGCCAAGGCTTTTGCAAAAATCTTATATAGACTGTTTAGTAAGCTGATAGGTCTAAAATCTGACACTCAGACAGCCTTCCTTCTTAGGGATAAGTTTGATAATAAGATTTTACTTTTAATTTTATTGGTTATCAAAATGGTTTATAAGAAATGGTTTCAGCAAGTAATCAAATAGATAATTTTCAATCAAATTAATGTGGTGTTTTACTGAAAATTGAATTCTTGTTGAAGGTATGCGCATAGAATATAACATTAGATCTTATTAAGGACATGGAAGTATGGCAAAGAAATTTAAAGGTCTACTAAAATTTAGGAAGTCATACATGTAATGCATTAACAGGATTACATTAGCAGTTTAGTTTTTCTTTTTTATGTTGTTTTATGATTTATGAACTTCATCCGCTTTCTTTGAAAACTTTTTTGAGGCATACACCTCAGTATGCCTTTGAGGCTTATGCATTAACTCTTCAGGCCCAACTGCCTCTCCTCTTCCTTTTCCTTTTAAAACCTTAATTCTAAGACAACTCAAAGAAAGACACAAGTATTCTAGTAAGAACGAGTTATTCAGAAAGTTCATATAGGACTTCAGGCACAGGAATACCCAGGTAGACTGAATCCTTGTGGCAAACTTCTGAGCCAAGAAATAAACTTAACATTTACAACTACAATCCCAAGTTCTTCAAACTAGTGTAGAGAAAGTCATGTTAACAAGGCAAGAAGTGTAAATAACAACAGACAAAATATATAATTTAAGGTGGAAGGAAATCCTACATGATGGTGCTCGTGTGGTAAAAATGATCATGGGGCCTAAAGTCCCATATGCATGGCCGGATTTATTTGATCCATACTGACTTAATCTATATATCACCTGGCAGATGGGAATGGTCTGAAAATCATACTGTTACATATGAGTAACTTGGAAATATTTTCACCACCTATATACCTCATGCCTTCATCCATGTTAAATTATAACACTAGATCATCAGTATGACTTAGGGTATGTCCATTCAAAAGAAGTGGCTCAACACTAGATCATCAGTATGACTTAGGGTATGTCCATTCCAGAGGTGTTGGTGCCTCTTTCAGTGGAAATAACCTAAATATGGACCCAACAATCTTAACTGTCTATGGCTCAAATCTTTTATGAAAAGTTGGTTGTAAGCCATTAACCAAATACTTTTTTGACTCCATAATAGCAATTTGCTAATTAAGGAGAGTGCAAAACAGTCCAGATCCTTCAATATAGTCAATGTACAAACTTGCTATCTTGTTATTAAGGAGAGTGCAAAACAGTCCAGATCCTTCAATATAGTCAATGTACGAACTTGCTATCTTGTTATTAAGGAGAGTGCAAAAGTTGAATTTTTAATTTATTTTGGAGGGGGTTTGTATTTGTAATAATTGTATGGTTCTATATTTTCAAGAGACGAGATATATGACAAAATCACATAGAACTTTTTTTTCTTGTAGCACTGTTTCATGTCCGACAGTGAGAAGTTCCTTAAAATGGGCAAGGACATTTTTTTTTCTAAAAATATCCTTGAGCACTGCTAGAGCTACAGTAAGCTTCTCATAGAAGCAGGTACCAATGCCTTGAGCACCAGATATAAGGCAAACCTTTCTGCAGCCCAATGTTAAAAATAAATTGATGAGACACTGGTTCCCACTCTATGTCTTTGTGTTAAGAGCATGCATACCCACTTATGAGAGTTCATCATATTGCTAGTATTCTCCTTTATGGATTATAAATGAATTTTATAGAGATATATGAAGAAAAAATTACACTAGGGAAGTGGGGCTACACAACGTTAAGTGCCCTTTCCCAATTGAAAGAGATATGTCTTACCTAGCAGAAGTGGGAGCAAAGAGAAAAAAGATATGTAGTTATTAGGATACGAGAATCTTCTTCATTGAATCAATCACAAGACAAAATGACTAAAAACATGAAATAGTAACAAGGCACACTAAGAAGGTACCATTCTATCTAAGTCCTCTGGTGATAAGGAGGACATCACTTGTTGAGCCTTTTCTGGATCCTCTCGTGAAAGCTTCATTCCAAATTGTTCACTCATGGTGGACATCATCTCTGGGCTCATATTTTTAATAATTGATGTAAACATCTGCCATTTGTGTGCATTCAAAGATTTTAGAAACAAAGGGGAAAAAAGATAGCCAAAGGAAAAAGAAGAGGACTGGCATGACACTATCAAAAATGTTGGTTGTTTAGTGCGGAATTTGTCTCCCTAATTCGTTCTTTAGAATAAATGGAGTTCTCTTATTCTTCTTTAATAAAATTTCATTTATCATCATTGCTGATAATAATTGAAAAAAAAAGAACTTGCAAATCCAGTAAATTCTCAGGGAGTTAAAATTTATTATGGATGGCTTCGCCAGATTAGATGTGAAACAGGTATTTTTGACAGCAATATCTCTATGCATCTCACAACTTCGTTTTGAGAATGGAGACAAATTGGAAATTTTTGAATAGCATTTTACATCTTCTCATGTACGCCTATTACTAAAATGCTGAAGGTTAGGTCAATCTCCAGCCCAGCCTCCCAAGACCCCAGATAGCCTGAATCAGCTCACCAATGGCCTTTTTATCTTACATTCTCTTATTTACTCATATTTTCTCCTTCAAAGGCTTAAATTAACCTTCCAGTCCTTTCCCAAAAACAAGAAGGAAAATAAGAGAAAGATTCTTATAATAAAGGGCCATTACTCAATGTTGGTCTCAGCTATATGGAGTCTTGGGAGGAGTGGGCTGAATATGGACCTATCCCTTGGCATTTTTGGAGCAAAAGTTTGTATAATGAATAAGAAAATATAAATGAATAAATCTATAAAAAGTACCTGCTGCATTGCTGGATCTTTCAATTGATTTCTCATCTGATCTTGCATATCACAAGTTGAAGGTGGGAAATTTGGAGGAAAGGGATCCATTTCAAAATCTGAGAGCAACCTACAAGATCTACTCTCACCCACATCATGATTCTTATTAACAGAGGAGACTCCAGAAGGCACTGAGACTTTTAATGTTTTATCGGATATAGGCCTCTTATTTGTCATTGTCATTGCTGTTATAACTGAATCTCTCTCTTTCAAAGAAGAGGCAAGTTGAAAGATTTTCTGAAGCTCATATGGTGACATTTTACTCGTCATATCAGCAGAAGTCTTTGGCACATCAGGTGGGAGTGGTCCAGAATTTGAGTTCTTCATCCTCATCTCTGAGTCCCCCTCTAGAAAATATGGGTTTGACCCTTGAAAAGAGGAAGCCACTTGGAGAATTTTCTGAAGTTCTTCAGGTGACATATTGCTAATCATATTTGAGGCAATGTTAAACATCTCAGGGAACACAGTTCCAGAATTTTCAGAATTCAAAGAAGCAAGAGTTTCAGGATCAACATTTGAAATGAAATTATGGAATAACCTGTAAAATACAAGCATAAAAAAAGATGATGAATCTTTACTAGATGTCTACATGGTTTTCATTATAAATGATTGAGAAAATTAAAGATTTCCTTTCATACAAGACTAGTAAAAAGCATGCATGACAATATTAAGATCATAATGTTAATTTGGCTACAATAATTGCTGGAACGATACAGTGCTCACTGTTCAGAAACCTCAAATTGGCAAGGAAGAGCTAGGTTAAGTAATGTGAATGATAAAAATGTTCACATTAACCTGATAACACTATTGTTGTAATGTGTAGTTTAGTGAAGCTGGGGTAGTATGATCCATAGACCTTGTTATGTTCTATGTAATAAAATAAGGAGTGGGCACTGCCACTCTGTTCCTTTTTGGCTCTCTATTCCTTTGATTCTTTTCTATCCTCTCTTTCTTTGTTCCACGACTGTTATCATGGTATCAGAGCATGTCAGGCAGGGATTTGGTTGACCTGACATTCCTCCTTTAAACAATCTATTCCTATCTCTGTTCTGGTGATTAGAAAGAATATGGATTTTTCTGTTTTTACATTTGAACTGATCGAAGACAACAAGTTCTCCATTTTTATTCTTTTTCTCCTTGGTTGTGATGCCAAGAGCATTCTTTTGTTGATCTGGACATAACATATGGAGATTTAAAGGAGACTATTTCAGAAATTTTTTCAAGTTATGTCACAGCTGACTAATGTATACTAGATTTGTTGGTCATTGAAATGTATAGGGGTATCCCTGAAGTGTTGAACGTGTGGTTTCTGAAAGTTATTTATATCCTGTGGAGGCTGTAACAGAGCTTTTTAGTTTTTATGTACCTGATCTAGAGAGGGTGTAGTCTTTGTGATTTGTTTGTTCTTTGATAGCTGTAGCTATCTATTGTTGGCAGTTTTCTAATCATCTGAGTAGTGTTTGTGGATTGCTGATAAGATCTGCCTGTCACAAGAGCTTCTTCAAGGGAGAGCTCGTTCCTCCTACAGAGTGCAGAGAGAGAACAAGATGAGGAATAGGGATGGTGCACTCAAAAAGGCAATATCCTTTAATTCCTTTATGATTGTTTATAGATATTACATCATGTGGGAAGCCTTTCAATTGTAACTAATTTGTTGATGTGGTCTGTCTCTCACATAGGTCTTCTGGTATGGCTGAACAGAGATCATGTGAGTGGGCCGAGTGGTAGGGGTGGGCCATGAGAAGCCTTTCAATCTCCTTTGTTGATGTGGTCTCTCACATAGGTCTTCTGGTGCCCATCAGATGATGGTGACACTGTCTCTGATGTTAAGTAGTTAAATAGGTTAGTAGAAAGACTGCTATACTTGTCCTTGACCAGGCCTGATATGGATTATGTAGTGGATGTTCTTAGCCAACATATGCATGCTCCCAAAGCCACTCACTTTGCTATTTTTGAGATGGTTTTCAAATACTTAAAGAAACATCCAAGGAGGGGTACCCTTGTAAGAGGCAACCTAATAACTTGGCAGAGCAACAAGGAGCCAATGGTTACTAGATCAAGTACTGAAGCAGAGTATCATGCCATGGCATATGGTGTAGCTAAAATTTTGTGGGTGAAGTACGTACTTAGTTGGGTTTTACAGTAAAAAGCCCTGTCTCACTATTGTGACAACAATGCTGCCATCAATGTAGCACATAATCCTGTCCAACGAATTCAGATTTCCTCACAAAATTGGTCCTCACCCCACCAGCAGCCATGCATTGGGAACATCTCCATACTTGTATGTTTTTGTTCATGGAAAGATGTTCCCAATGCATGGCAGCAAGTGTTGTGAGGTCAGTGTGAGCACCAATTTTGTGAGGAAATCTGGATTCCTGTTCAACATGACAAGACTAAGAACATTGAGCTTGACAAGCATTTCATTAAGGAAAGATTAGAAATGGGTGAAATATGTGTACCTTATGTAAGTTCACCAAATCAGTTACTGATATTTTCACAAAAGGTGTAACAAACTAGTGTCACAATGAATTATGTAAAAAGTTGGGACCTTGAAGGGGAGTGTTGTAATGCCTATTTTAATGAGGCAGGAGTAATATGGTTCATTCACCTTGTTTTATATTCTTTCCTTTTACTTCTTTGTTCCATGAATGTTATTAACTATGTTAGCATAGGGGTATTTCTGTCTTTATACCTTGATTAATGTTGCTGATCTGTAATTTTGTGTTGGAACAAGTGCTCTTAACTTAAGTAAGGGCACATAGGTCTTTTTAGTTATGTTTTAATAATAATATAAATACTTACTGGCCGACTAGGAGAAGTAAAGTTGACTCTTTCAGTTTGAACCAGAATTCTCTCCTCTCTTTCTCTCTCTCTC